GATGCTACAAAGACCCAACTTGATCAAAGACTTCTTGAGAGCTGGAGAATGCAGAGGCTTAGTGAGCATATCAGCCAGCTGATCATGAGTAGAAATAGGAAGCAGATGAATAAGCTTGGATTGTATTCTTTCACGAAGAACATGACAATCCAATTCTATATGCTTGCTTCTTTCATGAAATGTGGGATTATGAGCTAAATACACAGCTGACCTGCTATCACAGAAAATGGAAGCAGGATGATCAAAATCAATCAATAGATCATGGAAGATGTAAGTGAGCCACTGAATTTCACAGGAAATAGAGGCCAAGGCTCTATACTCAGCTTCAGTCGAAGATCTAGATGCAGTGTGCTGCTTCTTGGATTTCCAGCATAGCAAAGAAGAACCTAACATCACACAGTAACCTGTGATTGATTTCCTTGTATCAGGACAACGAGCCCAATCAGAATCAGCAAAGCCCATGAGCTTGAGTTCACTAGATGCAGAAAAGAGTAAGCCAGTTGCAGGAACAGACTTGAGATATCTCAAAACCCGAATTGCAGCTTGAAAGTGAGGAAGTCTTGGTTGAGACATGAATTGACTTAAGTGCTGGACAGCAAATGAGATGTCTGGTCTTGAATTAGTAAGATAGATAAGCCTTCCAATTAGTCTTCTATAGGATGAAGGGTCTTCTAAAGGGGGACCTTCAGTAATAGAGAGCTTAAGGGTGGGATCAAAGGGGACAGAAGAAGGCTTGGCTGAAAGAACACCAGCATCTTGGAGTAACTCAAGAGTGTACTTTCTTTGGTTGAGAAATATGCCTTTGGATGACCTTGCAATTTCAAAACCTAAGAAGTACCTTAGTTGACCAAGATCTTTAATCTTGAACTTCTGATGCAGAAGCTTCTTAACCTGTTGAATCTCATCTGAGGAGTTTCCTGCTAAAACAACATCATCAACATATACAAGCAGAGCAGTAAAGTGAGGTGCCTCATGTTTAACATAGAGGGAGTAATCAGCTTGAGATTGATGATAACCAAGGGAGATCAAAAAAGCAGATAGTTTGGAGTACCACTGTCTACTAGCTTGCTTAAGACCATATAAGGACTTTTGTAATTTGCACACTTTAGAAGGATCAAAACCAGATAATCCAGGTGGAAGAGACATATATACATCCTCATTCAAGTCACCATGTAAAAAGGCATTGTTAACATCTAGTTGTTCTAGATGCCAACCTTTTACAACTGTAATGGAAAGTAGAACTCTAACAGTAGTGAGCTTTGCAATAGGGGAAAAAGTATCAAAATAGTCAATACCTTCCATCTGAGTGTAACCCTTTGCCACTAGTCTTGCTTTGTACCTTTCTATAGAACCATCTGCTTTATGCTTGATCTTATAAACCCATCTACAACCAATAGGTGTTTTACCAGCAGGCAGATCCATCACAGTCCATGTATGGTTTTGCTCAAGAGCCTTAAGCTCCACATTCATGGCATTAACCCAACAATCATGTTTGATGGCTTGGTTGTAAGACTTAGGTTCAGTAGTAGATGATATGGCACAACAAAAATGTTTGAAAGCAGAAGAGCATTTATCATAGGACAGAACTGAAGACAATGGATAAGCAGTTTTGGAAGAGTTTATGATAGGTTTGTTGTGAATATGATAACAGTGATAATCTGCTAGGTAAGATGGAGGGTTGGAGACACGGGTTGAATGTCTAAGAGGAAGATTATGGGAAATATCAGAATTGTGGATTTGTAATGGGACTATTGGTTCTATGATAGAGGTGGACTCAAATGAAGGACTATGATGAGGAAGATTGTCTAAAGGAGAATTGGAAGACTCCCTAGGTGAGTGCATAAAATCACTGTTAGTGGTATTAGGACTGGGCACATAAGTCTGAGCAGAAATATCAGGTTCTGCAGAAATATCAGGCTCTGCAGAAGTAGCAGAGGATGTGCCATCAGGCTGAGCAGAAATATCAGTAGATGTAGAGTACTGATGTGATGTTTCAGGGATATCAAGAAAAGGTAGGAGAAGTGGATCAGATAAAGGGCTTTGGTTAGACTGGGAGCTGACAGAAGTAGGTTTAAAAGGGAACACATTTTCATAGAAAGTAACATGTATTGATAGAAAAATATTATGATGTTGAACATCATATAAAATATATCCTTTTGTACCATCTTTGAAACCTAGAAAAACAGATTTTCTAGCTCTTTGATCAAATTTTGTCTTATGTGGAAAATTAGAAACAGCATAGCCTAAACAACCAAAGACCTTTAGGTGAATGATACTAGGGGGTTGATTATACAGTTTTTCATAAGGGCATTTTAAACTCAATAAAGGAGTAGGTAATCTGTTAATAAGATGAACAGCATGAGCAATACAGAAATTCCACATGGTGAGAGGAACATGAGAATGGAAATAAATGGACCTAGCTACATTCAAAATGTGCTGATGCTTCCTCTCTACCACCCCATTCTGTTGAGTGTATAAGCACATGACTTTTGGTGAACCACACCTTTAGATAAAAACTCATCAGATAAAGGGAGAAACTCAGTCCCATTATCAGATCTGAAATATTTCAATGATGTGTGAAAATGGTTTTCAATGTATGCTAAGAACTGTAACACACTTTGCTTAGTTTGATCTTTAGTTTTCAAAAAAATAACCCATGTATACCTACTGTAATCATCAACAAGGGTTAGAAAATATCTATGACCAAGCATGGAAATGGTAGAGAAAAGGCCCCATATATCAGCATGTAAAATTTCAAAAGGGAAACTAGAATTTGTAATACTATTTGAAAAGGGAAGTTTCTTCTGTTTACTAAAATGGCAAGGATCACAAGGAAAAGTATCAGTATTACATTTTGAAGGAATGAAAGGAAAAACTTTGGATACATTGTGTAATCCTATGTTGGATATATGGCCTAATCTTAAGTGCCAAAGAAAAGAATCATTATTTATAGAACTATTACAAGCATGCTGATCATATGAAGAATGAAGAACATATAGTCCTCTCTGGAGTCTAGCTGTACCAATCACTTCCATGGACTGATTCTGCAGAATTTTGCATGAATCATTAGTGAAGTGAACAACACAATTATTTTTATGGACAAGTTTGGCTATTGAGATTAAGTTGACATGAAAAGAAGGAATGTATAAAACATTATGGAGAACAAGATTTGGTGATAAAGCAATACTGCCAGATATAGATGCAGTGACATGAGATCCATTAGGCAAACTAACATGAATAGGAACAATTGTGTTGTGAGATATAAAAATGGACAGATCAAAGGCTATGTGATCAGTGGCACCAGTGTCTAGAATCCAAAGTTGGGAATTCTTACCATTTTCAGGATGAGAGTGAGTGTTCAAGATAAAGGGTGATGTAGAGATGGAATTGGCTTGTGAGGTGAGCTTGGATTGTTGGATTAATTCCAGAATACTTTGATATTGCTCCTGAGTAAAGCCAACCATGGACTGAGCTGAATGCTGTTGTGGTGTAACCTGACCTGTTTCAACAGAAGCAACTGATTGAGAGTGAGTAGCTTGAGTAAAAGCTTTGCCTTTACCTCTAAAACCTGGTGGATATCCATGTTTAGTGAAGCATGTTTCAACAGTGTGATTAGTCCTCCCACAATGAGTACACACTCTGCTATGGCCTTTTGAAGTTCCATTTCCACCATTTTTTCCTTTGAAGTAGGTGTTGCTGTTTTTGTTGGAATTGCTGCCAGAAGAAGAATTAATGTGCAAAATTGTGGATTCTTCAGTAATGTTGCTATTTGAGATAACAGATTGAGAGCTATTGAGTTCTCTTTCTTTTTGAATAACAAAAGAAAAAGCTTTCTCTATATCAGGTAGTGGCTGCATCATCATGATTTGAGTCTTAGACTGCATAAATTTCTCACTCAATCCCTTAAGAAAACGTATAACATAATCTTGTTCCCTATAAGTTCGAATTGAAGCAAGCGCTCCACATGAACAAGGTATAGCACAAGAACAAGCAGTGATTGGCCTATATGCTTCTAGTTCATCCCACAGAACTTTCATTTGTGTAAAGTAATTTGATACATCAAGATTACCTTGGCGGAGTTTGTACAAATCCTCTTGTATATCAGAAATGCGGAATATGTCGCCGTGTGAAAAACGGATCTTCAGATTTTTCCAAGCATCTACTGCAGTCTCAATCCACAAAATCGACCTAGCAATAGAATCAAAAATGGAACGGTGAATCCAAGCCAAAACCATTGTATTGCATCGAATCCAAGGAGCATAAAGCACATCTGATACTGGTGGTTTGGGAAGAGTACCATCAATAAATTTCTCCTTGTTCTTGGAAATCAGTGCAATGTTCATTGACCTAGCCCAAGTATGATAATTCTTGTCATCAAGAACAGGGGTAACAAGAACTAAGGCTGGATTTTCATTTGGATGTAAGTAATAAGGGTTTGATGAATTCGTGGAAAAATCTGTGAAACTCTGGTAAGCCATCAATGGAGTAAACAAGCAGAAAGACGATTGCGAAGAAACAGTAAAAACATATTGCAAGAAATCAACGATGGTTACCAGAGCTTTGAGAGCTCTGATACCATGTTAATGGTAGCACAACTACCATGAATCTTCATGAAGATGAAACAGTTAGAGAAGCAATTTACAGCATAACAGAAATCTGTTATAAGTCAACTGTCAAATCTTTATTAGATGTATAAGATTACAAGAGATGTTAATATATATAACTTATCTAATACACTAAGCTGGTGTGGCAATTAATAGAAAAGGAAAATGAAGCTAAGCTATATACTAACATTAATAATACTCATATAACCATTGTTAAAAACTATTTTTCATAATCATATATCGTATATATGATACAATAAAATGAGAGTAGGGGTAAAGCCGATTTATGTTATTATATAATCCAAAAATCGTAATTAAGTTCTCAAAGACACGTACATTTTATACACTCACGAACTAATCATAGTAGCTAAAGCCTAAAGTAGGTGGACATTTAGGTTAGATGGTAAAACTCCACAAAGACATCTCAAATTCAACTTGATCAAAATTATTCCAGTGATCCCTACCACATATCATAAATGGACTCGTCGGAGATCGTAAAGGCTCATCTGCCATACTCCGGAACCAATCATGCAACACCTCCTGCTCCTCAAATATGGAAACACCTGGAATTTCCACACACAATTCCTTTAAACTTTTATTATCATCTCCCACAACATCAACGCTATTAATATCGCTGTTGCAAACATCAGACTCACTAGTTATCATAAGTTGTTCATTACTGCTCTCAACCGCAAATGCAAAAGCAGCCTCCGCCGCCATTTTCCTAATCTCCGTCACGTTAGTCGACACAGGTATTGGCAATCTCCAAACCGAGTCAGCAAAGTTGAGACAAGCTGATTTGCCACGAAGTGCCAGCGCAGCAACATCGTGTGCACGTGCCGCCATCTCAGGCGTTGGATATGTTCCCAACCAGATCCTCCTGGACTTGTCGTTTGGAACACGCACCTCGCAAACCCACTTGTTGTTCTTCCTCCTTCGTACTCCTCTGTATACTGGATGTCTTGTCTCCTTGAATTTTCGTCTCCCGGCACGCCTCTTTGGTTGCTCCGACGCTAACAAGATTTCTTCATGGCAACTTGTTTCCGATAATGATGAGGTTGAGCTGTAGGAGTACTCTGATTTGAGTCCGTAACTAGAGTCATTAAGTGATGATTTCATTTGTATTGTTTTGCTTTGTGTATTGGTAAATTACGTGAATAAAACCAAATGCTGAATTTGACTGAAGAATGAGTGAAGTATATATAGTATGCAGTTTTTTTAAGTTGATTAGGAAATAGTGCACGTGGCTACGATGTGGACACGAACACGGGAACATTTGGTTTTTGTTTTTCTTGCGGGCCAGTGATATAACAGCAAATCAACGGTTTACACTTGCTTTTTGAGACAGATGAGTAACATTTATTGGGAGTACTTTCCTAAAAGAAAAAAAAATACATTTATGGGAGAGCAGGCTCACCAGATCCAATGAACAAGAGTCTAATACGTGTTTCTACATTTAATGGAGTCATCATCATATAATGCTAAATAAATTAAAAGTACAAAACTTCAATGCCAGGTGTGTTTGGATTGGCATTTGATTAAAATATCTTATTATTTAACTAATTACATATAGTTTGTCACAAATCTAAATCTTATATATTGAAGTTGTTAACTCTCTCTTGAAAAAGTTTTGAGGCCAAAATTAATTAATTTTTAATAATTGTATATTTTTAGTTTATTTTATTTTATTAATTATTTACTAAAAATTAATATATTAATTAAATAATATAATAATTACTCTGTCTCATTACTTTTTTTTCTATTCATTCTTACATATTAAACACTACAAGAATATATGTCCCCAGCGACATATATTAGTGACGTGCTTATCACGTGAGTAGTAGCGACGTGATAACCACGTCGCTAATATATTTTAATGACAAATAATGCAAATCAGAGAACGTTGCAAAGGGGGAAATTTGAATTTTGGTAGCGACGTGATAGCCACGTCGCTATATTTAAGGGGGAAAATAAATTTGGCTGATGACAGAGTTGCAGAGTGGGAGAGAGAATAATTTTTCTGTTTAGTTTGTAGCGACGTGATTATCACGTGGCAATGTTGCGACGTGACAGTCGCGTCGCTACTAGACTTTACATCTCCAAAATTTTCATCCTTTACAGAAGCGTTGTTTTGCTTTCTTCTTCCTCTCAAACCCATTCTTCTTCCTCTCAAACCCAAATTCCCGAATCAAATTTCCTCCATCCCAAATTGTTGAAGAAAAATAAGATATTCATATTTTGATAAATGTTTATTTCGTTTGTTCATTATTTATTATACTGGAAAGAAATATTAAAAAGGGTATTTGTTCGTTTGTTCATTATTATTTGTAGAGAAATTTGAAGAAGAACACCAAGAGCTACCCAAGAAGATGCAAATTTAGTGAAGAAATTATATAGAGGTATTTATGCATTTTTTTTTAGATTTTATATGTATTATATAGATTAGTGGTATATGTATTTTGTGGTTAGGAAGTATATGTATTTTGTTAGTAGTATATATGTACTGGTAATAAAAAATTTTAGAAAACATAAAATTAAAAGTTTTATTTTTTATAGATATATATATATATATATATATATATATATATATATATATATATATATATATATATATATATATATATATATATATATATATATATATATATATATATATATATATATATATATATATATATATATATATATATATATATATATATATATATATATATATATATATATATATATATATATATATATATATATATATATATATATATATATATATATATATATATATATATATATATATATATATATATTAACACATAAATTTAATAACATATTTAATAACATATTTTTTTATAGATGTATATTATATTTATTATAATAGTTTTATTTTTTTATTTATATGTTAAAGATATGGAAAAAAAATTATATATTAAAATAAGAATTTATAAAAAACATAATTAAAAAGTATATATGTTACATTATTAAAAAACATAATTAAAAATAAGAATTATATAATAGTTTTATTTTTTTAATATTATTGTTATATATATAATAAAAAGTATATATGTTACATTATTTGTTTTCTAATATTATTGTTGTATATATAATAAAAAGTAAATATGTTATATTATTGTTTTTTGATATTATTGTTATGTAATAAAAAATTATATATTTTACATTTGAATATTTATTTATATGTTAGTATATATATAAAAAAGCAAAATTTATATTTTTAAGAATAGTATTAAATAGTTTAAGAATAATATTATTGAGTTGATTAATATTTCTAATGAAAAAGACAATGATTGTATAAATGTGCAGTATGGAATATTATCGCAGTTGGATGTACGATAGAACATATCCAGGAAGAAGTGGACTTAAACCCAATTTTATAGTAGGAGTTGATGGGTTTATTAAGTGGGCGTTTGTTCAGGATTGTTGTCGAAGCGAAGGAGGGGTTAGGTGTCCCTGTCTTAAATGTGAATGTAGACCAATAATTAGTGACCCAGAGGAAGTAACACGTCATCTGCATAGAAGGGGATTCATTGAAAGTTATTGGGTTTGGACGTATAATGGTGAAGAACTACCGGTTAATGTACCAGAGACTAGCAACACGCATGCTTCAAGTAGTCGACCGGTTATGGAGTATGAGGAGAACTTTAATTTGATCGGTGACATGGTTGAGGATGCTTTTGGTGTGAACGTGACATATGATGAACCTGGAGATTTTGACGGGGAAGAGTTGCCGAATGAGGAAGCGCAAAGATTTTATCAATTATTGAACGAGATGAATACGCCGTTGTTTGAGGGGTCGTCAGACTCGAAGCTATCAATGTGTGTGAGATTATTGGCCGCCAAGTCAAATTGGAATGTTTCTGATCAATGTCTGGAACATTTTGCAAAAATGATGTTGGACTCCACCGCTACGAAAGACAATTTGCCTACAAGTTATTATGATGCAAAGAAGTGGGTGTCGAAGTTGGGTTTAAAAGTAAGAAAGATTGACTGTTGCATTAACGGTTGCATGTTGTTTTATGACAATGAGTTTGGTACTCAAGATGGATCGTTAGAGGAGTGTAAGTTTTGTAATAGTCCAAGATATCAAGTTCGCAGTAGAGCCGTTAACAGCAAGCAAAAGCGTGTAGCAGTAAAATCCATGTTTTATCTTCCTATAATACCAAGGTTAAAAAGAATGTTTGCTTCAATGCACAGTGCAAGTCAAATGACATGGCATCATACAAACCAAACAAGTTCTGGCACTATGCGACATCCATCTGATGGTGAGGCATGGAAGCACTTTGATCGGACACATCCAGATTTTGCTGCAGAACCTAGAAATGTCAGGCTTGGATTATGCTCTGATGGATTTGCCCCATACGTGCAAGCGTCAGGAAGTGCGTATTCTTGTTGGCCAGTTATTGTAACACCTTACAACCTCCCTCCTTAGATGTGCATGACAAAACCATACATGTTTTTGACGTGTGTTATTCCAGGCCCGCACAGTCCAAAAGCCGGAATTGATGTGTACTTACAACCTTTAATTGATGATTTGAAGAAGATGTGGATTGGAGAATGGACTTATGATATATCCCGTAAACAGAACTTCACATTACGAGCTGCCTTGATGTGGACCGTCAATGACTTTCCAGCATATGGCATGTTGTCTGGTTGGGGTACGCATGGAAAAATGGGTTGTCCGCATTGCATGGGATACACCAAAGCATTTGCGTTGGATAAAGGTGGGAAAAGCTCATGGTTTGACTATCACCGCAGATTCCTACCAGCAAATCATCCATATAGAAGAAACAAGACAAATTTTAAAAAAGATGTACGAGAGAAAGATTTGCCTCCGCCTCGATTGCCACCAGGGGTTATATGGAACCAAGTATGTGAACTACCAAAATTTACAGATACTGGCAAAGCATGCCGAATTGAAGGATACGGCGTCACCCACAATTGGACAAAAAGAAGTATATTTTGGGATCTTCCATATTGGAAAGATAATTTGTTGCGCCATAATCTTGATGTTATGCATATTGAGAAGAATTTTTTTGATAATGTATTTAACACAGTGATGGATGTGACAGGAAAAACAAAAGATAATGAGAAGGCCAGACAAGACATGGGAATTTGGTGTAATCGAAGAGAGTTGGAGTTGAAGCCTTACCCGAATGGAAAATTATTAAAACCCAAGGCTTGTTTCAGTCTGACTTCCCAAGAAGCTAAATCGGTTTGTCGATGGTTAAAAGAATTGAGAATGCCCGATGGGTATTCATCAAATTTAGCAAGGTGTGCTGACCCTAACACTGGAAAAATACATGGTATGAAAAGTCATGATTGTCACATTTTTATGGAACAGTTGGTACCAATTGCATTTGGATCGCTACCCAAACATGTTCTTGACCCAATAACTGAAATTAGTCAATTTTTTAGAGATATTTGTGCGTCAGCTTTAAAAGTGGAAGACATCATTAAGTTGGACCAAAACATTGCACTCATTCTTTGTAAGTTGGAACAAGTATTTCCGCCTGGTTTCTTTGACTCCATGGAACATTTACCTGTGCATCTTGCATATGAAGCTTATCTTGGTGGACCTGTTCAATATAGGTGGATGTATCCGTTTGAAAGGTTCATGGGTGATTCAAAGAGATCGGTAAAAAATAAAGCTAGAGTAGAAGGATCTATATGTGCACATTACTTGCATCGGGAAACATCACATTTTTGCAGTCACTATTTCAATCACTTGATGTTAACTCCTAGAATCATACGGAATCCTGTAAATGTCAATCAGAGGAGTCAATTCACCTTATCAGTCTTTGCGCTTCCAGGTCGACCTTCTAGAAAGAAGGGTGTGCATTGGTTGACCCAAAAAGAAATGCAATCTGCACATGTCCATGTCTTGATCAACTGCGTTGAAGTTAAACCATATATTGAGTAAGTTTACCAAAACTTTTTAAACTTATGGTGTGTGTATACCAAACTTATTAAACTTATTGTGTGTTTTTTGTAGGGAATTTAACAATGCCTATTTTCATAGTAGCGGGGTACAGTCAACATCAGGTGTCATTCATGCTCAATTTCCCTCATGGTTCAAGCAAACATTGTCTAGCGTTCTTGCACTAACT